GAGGGGGCAGGCAGTGAACAGACACGGTGGAGCCCGGTGGCAGTGCTGGGAGGCCGGCAGGCAGGGTGAGGAGGGGGCAGGCAGTGAACAGACACAGTGGAGCCCGGTGGCAGTGCTGGGAGGAGGGCAGGCAGGGTGAGGAGGGGGCAGGCAGCGAGGAGCAGGCTGTCAAGGAAGGCACTTGAAGGGACACGTATTCTAGGTAGGGGGAACAGAAAGAACGGCAGTCCTGAGGTGGGCGTGTGCTTGGTGTGTGGGGGATAGCAGAGACCACGTGGCGGGAGGAGGGGCGTGTGATACAGTTTTTTGTGGAATGCCATCTTGATACAGTTTTGAGGCCCTGGATGGAGGCCAGTCAGTTCCCCTTCTTGAGACGCTGATTAAGTCCACCAAAAAAAAAAAAAAAAAAAAAAAAAGTCAAACCCGATGCTGTCAAGCCGATTTCGACTCACAGTGACCCTATAGGACAGAGCAGAACTGCCCCACAGAGTTTCCAAGCAGCAGCTGGTGGGTGCAAACTGCCTACCTTTTGGTTAGCAGCTATAGCTCTTAACCACTGTGCATTATGTCCACACCCCAACCAAAACCTCTCACGCTCTGCCCGCCCTAACCAACCCAGGGCTACGGACAAAACCGCTAGGGGCGGCCCTCAGCCCACCCCAAGTCCGTGAAATTATTCAAATAGGCCAATCCACAGGGAGCCAGGAAATCTAGCTAACCCGCCTCAAGTGCCTCGCTTAAGCCAGCTCCCAGGGCTCCAGGCTGCTGTTATACCCTGTCCCTGGGTACCACCCGCCGTGGGGCCCCGAGTGGCAGCCTGCTCCCCTTGGGAGCTGTAAGTAATGAAGACCTCTGCCTTTCATGTGTCCAAGTCTTGTTGTGCTGCGTCCTGCCATTCGACCCAAGGACCAATTGCCGTGGATTCAACTCTGACTCATGGTGACCCATGTGTATCAGAGTGTAACTGTGCTCCATAGGGTTTTCAGTAGCTGATTTTCTGGAAGTAGATCGCCAGGTTTTTCTTCCGAGGCACCTGTGGGTGGACTCAAATCTCCCACCTTTCCGTTAGCAGCCAAATACTTTAACCGTTTACACCTCCCAGGGATTTCCCTCTTGCGGAAAAGAATTTTTATGTAAAAGAATTGGTGCATAAACAAATATTTTTTATTTTCTATTGCTAGAATATCCAACTTGTGACTTTATCGATATTGTTGGTGAGGATGAGAGTCAGTAGATTCGGGGTGAAAACCATGAATCAATGAAAAACTGTATTAAGAAACAATAGTGGTGTGCAGATAAGACCAGAACTGGGGAAGAGCCATACAAACGACTGACGTTTGGAAATCCTCTCCTGCACATCCTTGTTACGTTTTCCAGGCACTTCTACACTTGTGCTAAGGACCACGGTCGCCCTAGCAGGTCATCCTGTGTTGGAATTTATCCTGAGGGCAGAGTGGAACCAAAGGAATTGGATAATGGTTCTAGCAAATTAGAATGGAACTATGTGGAAGACCAACTCATACACTCGCAGATCTAGCCAGATTATAGCTATGCTAATTGCAACAAACAACGGACAAAGGAATTACATCTCAGTATTCGGGCACATGTCTTAGTCTAATAGGATTAGAACGTTTTGCTGTACATACGGGATTGATTTTCAGCATTTAAGCAATGTAGGCAGTATCTTACTTCCCTGCCACTAAGCCAGAGAATGTTTAGCTGAAGTCTTAGGGGGTCAAAAACAGGACAGAGGTTTAGATGATGTTCTCATGCTATAGGTATCCTGCTCTTTTTTTTTTTTTTTTTTAAACTGATTATTTGCCTTTACGCCACCAAAAGGAGGTGTAAACCACAGAGGGTGGGAAATCTTGGATATGAGCCGCATGTCGGCAGCCTCTCGTGACTGAGATACATTGTTATTAACTGAAGTCCACAGTGTACAGTATACCAAGTTCCCAGCCTGTGCTAGGCACTGGGCTGAGAGAACCACACCTCCCTTGCTAGGTGTTTCACCTACACCGACCTTTGTACAAGTTATTTCCTTCCTCCATCCCATGAAGGAAAAGGCTCGGGGACATTTTCCATCCCGCATCTTCTTCCTGTGCAAAGCAGAATAACATTTCTGTTAATTACAGGCAGAGTTTATCTGTCGAAACCAGACAGTCAACGGTGAGGACGTCAGAGTTACTGTGTGTAAAGAACACAAGGAGCCCTGGTGGTGTAAAAGTTGCTGGTTCGAATCCACCCAGTGGCTCCACAGAAGAAAGGCCTGGCAATCTGCTCCCGTAAAGATGACCACCTAGTAAAGCCTGCAGGGTGGTCCTACTCTGTCATATAGGGTCACTATAGTTGGAAGCACTCAACAGCACCTAAGAGCAACAGTAAAGAATATAGACTTTTTTTTCCCTTTTTTTGTTGATTGTGGTAAAATATACACCACAAAGCGTTTGCCATTTTAACCATTTTTACGTGCACAATTCTGTGACATGAATTACATTCACCACGGTTCATTTTCAAATGTTTTAACCCCCCCCTTGTCATGGATTGACTTGTGTCCCCCAAAAATATCTGTCAGCTTGGCTGGGTCATGCTTCTCAGTACTGTATGATTGTGTACCATTTTATAATCTGATGTGATTTCCTTATGTGTTGTAAACTCTATCACTAAGATGTAATAAGATGAATTAGCCGCAGTCATACTCATGAGGTCTACAAGACTAGACAGTGTATTAATCCAATCTCTTTTGAGATATAAAAGACAGAAGCGAGCAGAGACACGTGGGAACCTCATACCACCAAGAAAGCAGTGCTGGAGCAGAACACGTCCTTTGGACCTGAGGTTCCTGCTCAGAGAAGCTCCCAGACCAAGGGAAGATTGATGACACAGACCTTCCTCCAGAGCCGACGGAGAAAGCCTTCCCCTGGAACTGACGCCCTGAATTTGGACTTGTAGCCTACTGGACTGTGAGAGAATAAACTTCTCTTTGTTAAAGCCATCCACTTGTGCTATTTCTGTTAGAGTGGCACTAGATGACTAAGACACTCTCATTATGATCTCCCCCGCCCCAGTTTTAATAGACTTTATTTTTTAGACCAGTTCTAGGTTTACAGAGAAATTGTGCAGGAAGTACAGAGCATTCCCATAGACCCATCCCCCAATCGCCCACATGGTTTCTCCTTTTATTAACACCTTGCGTTCCTGAGCCACTTTTGTTACAACTGATGAACCGATACAGATACATTGTTATTAACTGAAGTCCACAGCGTACAATAGGGTTCACTCTCTGTGTTGTACAGTCCCGTGGGCTTTGATAGATGCATCAGGTCACATGTCCACCATGACAGCACCACACAGAATACTGTCACTGCCCTAAAAATGCCCTGGGCTCTGCCTGTTCATCCCTCCTCCCTTACCTTGAGCCCCTGGCAACCGCTGATCTCAGGGGTTCTGTAGTTTCGCCTCTTCTAGAACGTCATGTACTTGGAATCAAAGGGTCTGTAGTTTCTGCAGACTGACTTCTCTCACTTAGCAATATGCATTTAAGGTTCCTCCACGTCTTTTTGTGGCTTGACAGCTCGCTTCTTTTTCTGCTGCATCCTGCTCCATCCTATGGATGGACCACAGCTTCCTCGTTACGGGTTTGGCCACGTCTGGGATGCCCTGGAACCACAGGACCCCCCATGTCTTTACATAGACTCATTTGGTAGTCCACGTTCTTCTGAAGGGAGCTCTGTCAGCCACTCTGAAGCGGCGGTTGCCTTGTTGATTATGTTTCCCTAGCACAGAGGGAAGTCTGACTATGGAAATGAGAGATGTCTCTGGAATGCCCTCCTCGGTCTCCACGTGTGCGCCCCACGTGCTGAGAAGTGCTCTGCTCATTCATGCTTGGGTTTCGGCAGGTGGAATCTAAACTCTACACACCACGGAAAAATCGTCCAGATGATAGCCTGACGCGCACCACGTGGGCCGGAAAGCTCTCTGGCTTCGTGAACAAGTAGGCCACTCCCAGCAGTCCTCTGGCATGAGGGAGCCCTGAACCACGCCCTGAGCACATTCAGACTCCAGCACACCATTCATGTTCTAACCAGCACAGCTCGGATCAGGTTACATGTCTGCTCAAGGAGCTGCCGTGGCTCCCCACTGTCTGCAGGGGGCGTGACCAACACCAGCTCACGCCTCCCTCTCTGCCCCCGGCTCCTCTGTGTTCTCCACCCTGGACTCCCGAACAGTCCTTGAGCCCGTTCTGCGTTCCAGCTTTGCTTTTGCTTGGGTGGCTCATTACTTCCACACAGGCGGGCAGGGCACTAGGGACTCCCCCGTGAACAAGGGACTATGATCCTCTGGGAGCTCTCTGAGACGGAGGTCACCTGGAACGCGGCATCATCAGTGTGACCAAGGGGAAGTCCAGGGGAGCCCTCACATCATGCGGGGGCCAGGGAGGGCCTCCCAGGAACCACAGCTCATGAAATAGCAGGGATGCTGCTGCCAGGCGAGGAGGCGACCTGCCTGGCAGGACGTGGGAGAAAGCTTGAGCTCAGAAAGCCAGGGGCTCCGAGCCTCGGAGGCAAGGACCTCCCATTCCAGAACGGGCACTGAAACAGAGCTCTTTGGTTAAAAAGCCCCACCTGGTACACAGAGCTCAGGGTCAGTCACTGTCCCCTGCTTGGCTACCAAGAGACCTTGTCACCTGAGAAAAACCTGCAAAGCGAGGCAAGAAGATGACCAGTTTTATCATGGAGAAAGCACAGGCATGTAGCGAGGGAGGGTCAGAGGGGGCTCTTGCCCCCGGGTGCAAGTCCAAGGGGGCACCGGATGAAATGACATTCTAAGGCGCCACAAATATGAAAGGTGCCTGACTGAGGCAGCCAGACAGAGGGGGGACGGCGTTTCTGCTGACACGCCCCGGCTATCAACATCTATCCATCTTGATATTGGGGTGGGGGGGGCACAATTTAGGGATTGCTCCTGGGCACTCGAATTGGGGGGCACAACTTACAGATGCTCCTGGGCTCTGGTTACCCTCCCCACGCCCCTGGTAAAGCGGGTGCGGGGAGGAGACAGAGGTGACTCGTGGACAGAGAGGAGCGTGCGGTAACTCTAACGAGCACTCCCTGGGATGCTGCTTATCATCTGCCATTCTCTCCCTCTCTGTTTCTCTTTTCAGGTACCACTAAGCCTCATGGATTTTTATTACTTTTCAGTAATGTGCTGTTATCCACCATTGCTGTTCTGTTTTGGATCCCAGACAAGCTGTGATGTTGAGACCTCATGGACAGCTGAGGAGGGGGAAAAGCGCTCCAGGGAAGGAAGTGTGTGTGTGGAGGGGCCGCTAGGGGTCTCCAGCAGAGGGAGCAGCAGGTGGGACCTGAGCTGCTGAGGCCACCAGTACAGCGGGGTGAAGGGGTGCTGCACAGGGGCCAGCAGACAGACATGGAGAGGGAGTGAGGGTGAGGGGAGAGAGAGAGAGAAAGACACACAGAGAAACAGATACAGAGAGACACAGAGAGATGGGGGAGAGAGACAGAGAGAGAGAGAGTCAGGCAGACAGAGAGATGAGGAGGGAGAGAGAGAGTGACAGACAGAGAGATGGGGAGGGAGAGAGAGAGACTCAGCGTTTTGCTGATATGGCCTGGCACCTGCTTTGCGCACGTTGTTGGCTAGTTGTGTGCATGTCTTTACTGCTCTCTTGGGCTGTGCGACCCCCCAAAGAGAAGGATCACAGCTGGCTGGGGTTTGGGGCCTCATACAGAACCAGCACAGTGCCTGGTACCCAACAGGTGTTTAAGGCCTATAGGTAAAAGTAACATGTACTGGTCTATTTGCACAATTTTACTCCTACAGTATCGGGCTCTCAAGGGGGGAGAAAGCATTGACAGGTGAGTTTTGGAAGCAGCTAACCCTGATGGTACAGACACACAGAGACTGCCTGACACCCCCTGACTTAGCACGGCCCACCTTTCTATTGGGTCATGACATCATCGGCCGTTAGGTGAGACACTTTTTAACCAGAGGGAAAAAGCACCAGCTAAGTGTTCCGCTCGTCTTTTTAACCGCATCTCCCTTTAGTCAGTGGTCCTTGAAGTTGACTGGATTTGGGTCCATTTCTTTGGTTGCTGTTGTTCATTTTTAAACATTTTCTATTTGCTCATTTTGACAATTATAAAAGCCAGTTGCTGTCCAGTCGATTCCTATTCATAGCAACCCTATAGGACCAGGCAGAACAGCCCCAGAGGGTTTCTAAGGCTCCAAGGCTCCAGTCTTCACGGAAGCTGACTGCCACACCTTTGTCCTGCACGTGGAGCAGCTAGTGGGTTTGAACCACTGACCTTTGGGTTAGCAGCCAAGTGCTTAGCCACTGTGCCACCAGGGCTCCTTACAGAGAAGGGGAATTCCACCACGAAGTTTCAGTCTACCATCTCAGCCCCAAAGTCACACTCTTTCTGAATCTGTCACTACGAGCGGGTCAAGGAAGCACATGGGCATTGTGGCATGGGGTCTGCTTAACCGACCTCCCTTTCTGACAGAAACTTCTAGACCCCTGTCCCCACTACTCCCAGCTTGGCCAAGTGGCTGGAGGCTGTCCTGAACAGAAGGGACCCTTTTCCCCAAGCAGCCCGCCCAAGGAGGCTGGACTGCAGGGCGTTTAGTGGGCAGGTAGATGGGGGTGGTCACACTGGCTGTCAGAACGGGGACTGGAAGGTACAGGTGGTCTGGCCAGCTGAGGGTGAGGAGATTGTGGTTACAGCTGCCCCACAGACGCCCTTAGAGAGGGACCTGGGCAGAGAGCTGGTCCTCAGTGGGCCTGGGTCTTCAGAACGTCCCAGCTCCAGCCCAGCCTGCCATGCTTCTTTGCCGTGAACCTCCACCCTCCTGCCCTCATCTTATCTTCAGCTGACCTGAGTGAGCCAACACGCCCAATGACCTCCAGTCAGGAACACATACCTAGAGGTGCTCCAGTCTTTCCATTCATCTGGAATAACGTAAAGACGGCTGGGGTCTGCTCTGGGCAGACACCAGCCCTGCTCCCACCTGCCCTGGGGCCAGGGCCGCGCTGACCCTTAGGGGGTGGCTCACCAGCAGCTCCTCCGAGCCCAGCCTCCAGCTTCTCCAGCCGGCTAATGGCAGAGCCACACTATAGGTTTTGCAAAAATCCCTATTTACTGCACAAA